GCCTTGCACCTGTGTTGTATTTAAGTGTAAGAACCGATATGATGCTGCAGTGGACCGAAGTTTTCACAGTTGTTTTCTTTTGAAAAAATTTGGATGAAAGTGTTTTTATGCCCTCAGCAACACAATTTAGATCACTAACATTCATAAGAGGCTGGCTCCGGCCCTACCTACCAAGGCCAACCCAGGCTGAAAGGGATACAACACCCCAGCAGAAAGACCGAGATACTCATTTTATTTTTTTAAAGTATTCTTATTCTTTTATATATATATATATATATATATATATATAATTATTATGTGTATATATATATATAATTATTATGTGTATGTGTATGTATATACATGTTATACATGTTAATTAAAGATATTGCTTTCCATTGTGTGTGCAAATTAGATGCTACTGTTGTCTAAATGTAAATATCTAGAGGCTCCATAAGAATATGAAATCAATACTCAACAACAATAATGATGAATATTTTCTATGTTAAAGAAACACCAAACCATATCAGATGAGGGGAGAGGGTAGGGTGGGGTGGATAAGAGTTTGAGTCTTGTTAGATAGAACTATACTCGGTTAATTCTATTGTTGTAGTCTTCACCTAAGATCCCACAATCAATAATTCCGGTTCACTTGAGATTCTGCTGTTAAAAAATAAACCAAACAAAGCAACAACAAATTTTACTACACAAGAGTCATCACTAAGATAAATTATCCCCCTCTGGAGTGTAATAAGGGACTAAAAACGCTACTCTCCATATCATACTTTACTGAACAAAAAAAGAACCCTTCAAATTCAAAGGTCATCCACGCTCTTGCACGCGATCACACCTCCAAGGGTGCTGTTATCTCTTTTTTTTTGAATATTTGAAATTATTGTGCGTCCACTTTGTGAAAACCAGGAAGCAAAATTATTGTAATCAATAATATTATTATTTATAGACCAAGACATACTGTTAGCAATCAGATAAAGCTGGCATCGGCCCTCTTTTGTGTTCGCTATTCCTTACACATAAAGTTAGTTATGGCACACACCTAGAATCATGCAATCATATCTTAAATTCAGTTTAAAAGTACATTTTTATCCATTTCTTATAAATAGATATTTTAGCATCTTGAAAGATTATCTTTAAAATTTGGTATGTTTGATAATTTTATGTTACTCGTACAAGTTTTCTTCTTATTTTACACATTTTTTATATTTTTAAACTAGATTATAACATAAAACTCTTTAAAAATTGAACAGTCCGTATCACACACAGAATTTTTTTTTCTTCCCTCCCTGTCATTATCCGTCAGTTGATCACAATCTGTCTGTCTGTCTGTCTGTCTGTCTGTCTGTCTGTCTGTCTGTCTGTCTGTCTGTCTGTCTGTCTGTCTGTCTGTCTGTCTCTTTCTCTCTTTTATTTAATTTTTCCCATTCTTCTTCGTCCCTTCCCAAGGCCCCCCATTCCTCTTTCATCCCAGCGCCATCCCCTCTTCCTTGAGTGCATTCTCCCACCCTCACAACGTGGCCCAGCCCGATAAGATTCTATAAAAAGAAACGCCACAGTTCGTGATTTAGCCCACAGTCGGCGGCCATATTTGATACCCACCGCGGCGTACTGCTCGTGGCGCCGCGAAGAGAGAGAGGAGGCTCCATTAGTTCTAAACTCCTTGTCTGTTATGTAAATGTAGACAAGAGGACGTGACAACCATAATAAAAAGGAGAAGGTGGAGATGGATTGTACATGTTCTGAGAAGAGAACCAGACTATTGTGAAGACTTCCCTCCACTGGACACCCGAAGGACGTCGTAAAAAGGGCAGACCCAAAGTAACCTGGAGACGCGCAGTAGAGTCTGAAATGAAGTCCTGAGTCCTGAAATCATTCGTGATTAACGCTGACCAAGATGGCCCGAAACAGACAGAGCTGGAGATCCTTTGTTGCTGCCCTAAACGCTAGATGGCGTAATGGGTAGTAAGTAAGTAAGTCAAGACTGAAAAACATCCATAGAACTGTTGCAAAGAACAGTTGTACAGGTACTGACAATATTTGAAGAGTGATTATAATTCAATACAAATGTTCACGTAAGACAACTAGATCTACAGTCCAACCTGTGTAAGACGGAATCGCAAGGGAGCCAGATAAAATTCCGTCTTAGACATTTTCCGTCTACAGCCAGAGTCCAAGGGGAGATGACAACAATTCTAATTTGGGGATTTAATAGATGGGTGCTGCAGTGGCATTAGGCTTATGGGAGAAGAGAAGGGACTTGAACTTGAAGTAGGTAAAACACTAGAGTTGTTTACATCGGCCCTACAACAAAATGTGTCGATAGTTGGACCATTTGTTCATTAGATCTATTCGTCAAGCAGCAAAGAGTTACAATTCTTTGATAATTTCCAAAATTTTAAAAACTAGAATCTAACTTAATTTCAGCACTGGTGTATACAATTTTTAATTTTGATTAAAAAAAGAGAAGACAATCTAGCAACTGCGTTTGTCGCGTCCGCGACCTGCGAATCGCGCCCGCGATTTTTGGCCTTTTTTGGCCCGCGAATCGCGGCCGCGATTTTTGCATCTTTTCAACAAAAAACACCGCCGGGAAGAAAAAATGAATTAAAAACAACAACAAAAACTGGGAATAATATTCGTGAAAAAAAAGAAGCCCAAACCTCTTTACTTTTAAAAAGAAAGTTTATATTTTCACTTTCGCTTCCTTTCGTCTCTTTCTCACGTGTTAACACTACACTTGTTAACACTGCGTTGATTTGTAATGTTCATGTGGAGAATATAAGTATAAGTCGGCAACATTACATTTCTCTATTGCTGTTTCTCTTTCATGTTTCCCTCTTTGTTCTGTTTTATTTGGTTGGCGTGTGTTAATTTCTTTTTCTCTTTATTGTTCCGATGTGTTGTTTTTCCTTTTTTGTGTGTGTGTTTATTATTTAATTTATATAGCATAATGTTCTTCCTATCTTAAAAAAAAAAGTTATAGTTATGTTGCAGCGTGTCTCCACCAAAAACGAATACTGGCACTGGTAGGTAGGCCCCTTGTGTGTGATTCCAGAATTGACATGGAGTAACGAGAACTCGGATAAAAGTCATACAACTCTTGCTTCTCATTGTCCTAGCATCTGCGTTGGTTGCCATTTTTTTGCCCAAAAGTTGTCAAAAGTTACCACAAAATGTCTTTTTCTTGAATATTACCCACGTTTAGGGTTAACACGGCCAGTCTACGATGGGTTGTTGACACACACACCCTTATTTGTTAATTTTTGTGTTGCAGTTTTAATTTTGATTTCATTCTGTAGTCATACCTTTATTGTTCACGTTTTTACACTCTGTGTGTGGGTGGTTGGCGGGTGCTCTGATACTCTGATGTGGCGTGCTTCTTCTTTCCCGTGAAACATCTATCATCCTTATCTCCCCTTCTTTTTTATGTTTGTTACTCTCTGGTAACATGTCTAATCTTCTGGCGCTCATACGACCTTATACAATTGCGAGCGCCGTAAAACCTCTACTAATAAAACTACACACTCTGTGTCGCTGCAAATGATACTCTGGATGAGCACAAGAAATTCAGGGGTATTAGATTAAGTTACCTCTATCAACATATTGCTATATATACGTCATCAAAGAGAGTTGAAAGTTTGAAAATTAATGGCAACTTTTGCCATTTTTGTGGCAACTTTTGACAACTTTGGGCAAAAAAAAAATGGCAACCAACGCAGATGTTAGGACAATGAGAAACAAGAGTTGTATGACTATAATCCGAGTTCTCGTTACTCCAGCTTTCATTACAAACCGACCACATTGTCTACATGGTTTGTTTTAGTTGGAGGAAAAGAGGAACTCCAGTTTTGCTCACCTTTTAAGATAAGTAATAAATTGTTAAAAATTATATATAATACATACACAATGAAAGTGTGATACAATGAAGTCCCGACTTTCGGTTTTGTTGAATCCGAAGGTTTGTTGAAAGCACTGTGAGCTTTTTTATCGATAGTTGCAGGCACCCAATGTGAGATCTGTAAACAAGGCAGATTTGCTTATATTATGCACGCTGTGCTTATGACTTATTGTTTACAGACAAGTCGCAGTGTTGAGCCTCGTGGAGGGTCATGAGTCATATCTGGTTCCACAAACCGGAACGCACCTCATTGCATAGGTCTATTGTATCTCTATCTTATCACTGCTCAGCAGTTGGGGAAGAATATTCAAGATTGTAGCATCTGCATCTCTTCTGATGTTCCTATCCTGGAACACGTATGCATCCAAATTTTACTGTATGTGACAGTTTTAATATGTGCAGTCGAACCTTCCCAGACAGTCACCTGTATAAGACAACCACCTTTACATACAGCCACTTTCCATTTCCCACCTTGTGTTTTTTCTTTAAAAATTAAAATTTAATGGTACTGCCTTGATAAGCTGTCCAATACAGCCATTGTATTTTATCAACAAACAGCCCCAAAAACCTGCCCAACATGGCCATGCAACTTGTTGCTGTAAATTATATCGGTCCCTGGCATTGTGAACAGGCCAATATAATCCATTCACTTTTCTTTTAATTTGTACGGTAATTGTACAAATATGAATGTACCAATAATTGACCAGGTCTTTGCAAAGAGGAGAGGTCCCTCCAACTGTTTACTCAAGTTGACCGATGGGTAACATTTTATGGGCCTTATGACAGTCCTAAATCTGGGACTGCCTCCATTTGTGACCTCTGAAGGGAATGGACTCGGAATGGTTTTTTTCATTTTGATTTTGATTAGCCCTGCTTAAGGAGGCCACTTTTATCGTCGACAATGGGTGGCCATCTTACTCTTAGATAATTTAAACTACTTTGAAATGCTCTAGGTTATTTAATATTGTTCTTGTGATCACCACAAGGAGGTTCTAAATCTAAAAATTCTTTTGATAATGACCCATGTGCAAAGTTTTGTATAAGTACAGCACATTTTCATTTATGTAACATCAAGCTACGTAAGACTATACGAGTAAGAGCCATAGATACCGTGTGCAAAGGTTTTAATTCCGTTATGTGTACATGTATATCAATTGCAGACAAGAGTTCTGAAGACAAGGCTTTTCAGAAAAAAAAGAGGAAGTATATCTTTTATTTGTTTCGAAAGACAATTATTAAGGCACCGTGTTAGTGGTTGTCCAACATCTGTAGTCAACAAAATCACATGACTTAATAGTTTATAGCTATCTTAATCTTATACAAAAATCTTTTAATACAATTCATTACATTGTTGCAGCGTCCAGCAGCAGTACTGAAAGTGATACATTCATGAAATATATGCAACATAACCACATATAGGCCTATCTCTTCATCACAACTTACAACCAGTTCCTCAGGTGAAGTAAGTACAGAACACAATTATATATAATATAATATTAATATTATATTCTAGGAGCAGAAAACTGAGACAAATGAAGATGTAAAACATCCAAGTGATGCCTCTTGGTCTTATTCTTATAGCATATATAGATACAAAGACAGTTAATGGGACTGATAGTGCTCAGAAACAAGATGATGGGGAAAACATATAAAGAACATGGACGTGGGACAGCCACCCAGAGGTGCCCACCATCCATGATCTCAAATGGGGTATGTGAATTAAGAAAAGGATTTATTTACGATAGTTATAAAGAATTTGAACCCTTCAAAAGGCTGCCCACTCGTGCTGTGCGATTTTGAGGAAACCAAAGTTCACCGAAGCTTCGAAGCATGAGCTCACTATCCATGCCATTCGAATACCTCCGATGAATTTTTTTTTCTCATATATGATAAGGATAATAAGCCCAGACCTATCTTCCACTATTCAACATTCGGTAACTTTTCACCGCTCCATCGAATGATTAAAAACAATATATATAATAAGCCCAGGCATAACTTCCGCTATTTGAAGCGCTGTCAAATTGTTTTTTCTTTTTTAACTATGACAAGCCCAGCTAACTTTCGCTATTCAAAGTGCCGTTGAATTGTTTTTTCTTCTATATATTGACAAGTCCAGGTCCAACTTCTGCTATGCAATGTCAGTGACTGAGGGTGCATGTGTTGTTGTTGCTGACAGTGCAATCAGATGACATCACGTCACTGTTCATAGGGCTTTGAATTTCAAATAGGGGAAGGGGAGCTCATTGCGACAGTTAACTTCATGGAAAAAAGTCATTCTCTGTACTTCAAGAGCCAAGTGCAATTGCTTGAGCTATCCATGGTGTGACGAGTGATTATTGAACAGTAAAAGTGTAAGGGATATTCTCAAGAGGAATGTTTTATAACTCTTGTTGGCTCCTCTTATCACTCTGTCTCGTAACCATCTAATAAAGAGTATTTCTTTGTATTTTTATCTAAATGATTTTAGACATAATATGCTCCAATTTACTATGTTTGAGAAAATGAGGCGAAAATCCATTATCTGCTTTTTTCTAAAAAAACACACGCCATCCGAAAGGCTTCGAATAGTTGTGAATAGTGCAAAAATCATGAATATCCAATAGTAAAGTCGAATGGGCACAGCGCTACTGCCCATCAGAGTTTTGCCATGCTTACAATCCTAAATGTGTTGCAGAAAGCTTTTGCCAAATTGCTTCCACTTTTCAAATACTGTACTCTCCCACAAATTCTTATAAATTCGCACACACTTAGTTGTACATTTTTATCCTTCTTTCATTACAATAGATGCGTGGATCCCATTACTCGTCAGAATAGAAAAGGAACAAGTACCCACACAGTTCAATCAAAATAGAGACTAGGTATATATTATGAAAATAAATATATCATTGTAAAAAAACAAACAAGTTTAATAACACGTGTAACTTGACAACAAATTATAATGCTGATAGGGAATCACTGGGCTCCTGGTTAATAAATGCTTCTTGTATACAGTATAGTTAACATTACCGCAATGCTCATTGCACATTAACACAAGTCACTTTTTAGATTCTAGAACGAATCTGGAGAACAATCTTTTATTCAATCAGTTTCAGTTCTGTGACTTTCTTTCAAAGGATACGTAATAACTCTTTCCATCTCAACAACATTAAATCACCATACATACATGATACAACTCTGACAAACATGAAACAAGCTTCATGATAAATTGTGCAATGATTACAATTCACCTCCATATTGCAAATTCAACTTCTGACTGATTGTGACTCTACACTCTTCAGCTTCATGTTTTCAAATCAAGATTTTCACTTGTCAGATAACTTGTGGAGGTTCAATATCCAGCTTCGTTGCTAGATCCCTCTGTAAAACAAATAATAAAAAGCATGTGAGCCAAAGGCAAAGATACCAAATGTTCAGTGCATATATATAAATTATATGTGCCACACTCTAGACAAACTAATTTTCAACCCAAGCATGTTCCGACCTTTAAAAGAAAATTATTGATGGTTGTGCTGCAATAGAAAGGTAACAGACCTCCAGTCAAAATTGATTCAAGTAATCCCAAGGCATATGATAAAAATAATAGATAGCATTATGTACAGTCAAGCCTGTGTAAGACGGAATCGCAAGGGAGCCAGAAAAAATTCCGTCTGAGGGAAATTTAGGGGGGAGATGGAGGGGGGTTTGAAAAGCCCAGCCGGTGGGATCAAGGGTCGCTTGTCGAGCCGGCAAGCAGTTGTCAAAACTTCACACCTTTCAACTGCTATCCTCTCTGATAATGCGATGCATCAGTCTTACTTATCCAGCTACCACCAGCACATGACTTGCATTTTATAGGACCACTGTTTGACCTGTTAAAAACAGAAACGTTTGAAGATCTCCTTTGCTTCCACCCTTAACCCCACCCATCGGTGTAACAAGCACAGTCAACCGATGCCACTCCTCGCTGCCATTAACGATTTGAGGAACTCTTTTCTCAGATGGCCGTATGATCAGGGCGCCAGGCATTGGTCACACCAATTTATTTCCCACCTCTGACCATTTGCATCGTCACAGATGGAGAAACATCTACCCCCAAATCTACCCATCCTACTCCCCTTCCTCGCCCGGTGCTATGGTGTTAAGTTTAGAGCCGGCAGATCAGGGCAGGGCTGAGCAGGCAAAACATTTTCCGTCTTAGACAGGTAAAACCCTAGGAAGAGAGCGGATTTTCTATCCGTTTCCGCGCTGGACAAGTTTCCGTTTTTAACAGGTAATTAAAGACGAAAATATCGGGGGGGGGGGGGGGGGAGCGGGGAGATTCGTTAAGACAGGTTTCCTTCTTACACTGGTGTCCATTAAGGTAGGTTCGACTGTATAGTGCAAACTCCTGTTTAACAGCAAGCTCTATGGGCTTTACAATCTCTATATTGTAACTTTAGCAGACTTGATAGCATTCTGAAACAACCTCAACTTTCTGGGAAGCATACAACGCAAGCTGCCATTTTACAAGCACTAAAACACTGACACACTGACAAGAACTTTCGCTGTCTATGGCTGAATATTCCTTCACACCTGGACGAGGTAAAGAAAATTCATGTAAAGTGCCTTTCCCAATTACACAACGTCAGACCTTAGACTTAACCACTAGATTACTGACGTCACATAAAATTTCTGTGAATTGTCAATAAAACACTAAATGCTGTAAACCATGAAGAAGTTCAGTTTTTCAAAGTTACAATGATGCGTGCTGTTTGTATGTTTGTGTGTTGGAGCTGGAGAATCGCTGTGGAAAGCGAAGCACCTCGGGGTTGAAAGGCGAGGTCAGCTGGTTAAATTCATTGGCAGAGCATTATGCAGACTTGCCACTCTATGAAATCCAGAAATCAGGATCTCAAGGGGGAAAAATCGGGATCAAAGACAAATCACCAAGGTGACTGCCAAGCTTGCTTAAAAATTTTGCGGGGCTGTTCATAAATATTATCCATGTTCATAAATATGATCCATGTATATTCCCTCTATTGTGTGTGTGAGTGACCATTATTTTTTTTAAATCTTGAAGTATTACATCAAGGACTCCTAGTCCAAGTCTGCCCTCCCCCCTCCCACCGCAAGTCTCCAAAGATGCTTCAACCGTCAACGGACGGTCCCCAACACACACGCAACTCGCACGCCGAAGTTGTGTGATGCGAACACACAATTGAAACAGTTTTACAATCAGGTCTTGATGATGGGCCCGACTAACCAGAACTTGGACAAAACTTGTTTTGAAAGCAAAGGCAGAACTATCAATAATATTGATCATTTGTATGTAACAATTGAAACAGTTATCAAGCCATCATCGAGTAGTAACAAAAGTGAAAGTAAATCTTGAGAATGTCCCAAGTCGAACCATTATAGTTGAAATAACATGTGCGCGCAAAGATGCAACACAACTTGGGGCCAGTCAACCACTAAATCTGGCATCCAACTTGGAAAAGGAAAAATAGAGCTCCAAGTTCCGGCGGACAAAAAGTTTAATGGGTGCTTCCCATAACAGAGAAGAAGTCAGAGTAAGATTTTTGAAAAATTCAGCGCAACAGACGGCACAAAAAAATCGGGATACAGGCGATCAGAATCGGGAAAATCAGGATGCTTGAGATTTAAGGAAAAAAATTGGGGTATCCCGATTAAATCGGGATGAGCGGCAGGTCTGTGAATGGCGTTTCCTGTGGTTTATTCTTCGACTTTTGGGTTTGAAAAGAAAGCCGTTTAAAATTGCATAAGAATTTCCAAACATCACTTATTACATGAAATACGTAAAATACTGGCTCAAAAATAGCACCAATAGAAACCATAGTTCATTTTTTATAGGAATAAAATCTTTAGCTTTGGATTGTTTTACATCTATCCTTCAGTGAAACTCGGAAAGAATATGATCCCAACATGGGGAGCCCTCTGTATACAACAGTATAAAGCCACATTAAGAAATACATTGTAAAATCATTAAATTCCAGAAAAACATTTTTTTCTGAAACTGGAATGGTCAGTTTAGATGGCGAAAGAACAATAAGCATTATCAAACTAACCGCATATTTGATCTGGTTTTCATGGTACAAAATTCCTCCTTGTTGGTCACACTTCTCCATATGTTTTCTCTCAGGATCTCCAGCTACAAGAACCTTTGATTGCTCCTCACTCTGGTGAATTAACAGCAGTATTATTGAACTTTGAAGAAAAGAAGAAAATGGACCCCCCCTCCAAAAAAAAAATCACAATTACTAAAAGGTTGAGAAGGACATGGGAAACACAAACAATTAAACTCCGCAATGATGAGAGTTAGCGGACAAAGCACAATGTCTTTTTGTAGCAGAGTCTCAGTATTGGGGGAATAACAAAGAGCAACTAAAATGTTACAATACTTGTACGTAACAAAATTGCAGGTCAAAATTGGCACCAATTTGAGCATTTATCTTAGGCCTATATTGTTTTGTGCCACTGTTTCTGTAATGGCCACTGTGGTCTTAACTGTAATGAGCTTTCTTTTACAAGTTATTGCCATTTCAAAATTTTGATGAAAATGATGACTTTGGAGTCGCAGATAAGTGTAAAATGTATGTCCTGGTCATCATCTGAAGATTTGAGTGTCAAGCTAAAACTAAGACCTGTGATATGTGAGGCCATATCTCATAGTCATAGGCCTACTGGCACTTCTCCCAAGGACCAAACACTTGCGTGGGAATTTTCAGTAATATTTTCATTTTTACTTCCTGTACCATGTCTCAATTTCTCCAAACTTTCCGGAGAGACTGAATAGAATTAATATATGTGAGTTAAAATCGCATATGGTTACTTTAGCTCAAACACAAAAATTTCCATCCTATCACAATCAGTTTACACGGCATATCATTCAAAGTGAAATTTGACAAAAGGCTATCATGAAGTATGCTAGCTTCTTAAAAGTATAAAACCTTAAAACAATGCTACCAATATTTTTCACAAAAAAACCTGAGAAAAAATATTTATTAACTACAAAATACAATATAAAACCACATTTACTTTCTTTGTAAACTTACTAAGAATATTTTCAGTTTAAAAACACAAAACTTACAGGTTCCAGATTTCGGAGGGAATCATTAAGCTGTGAAAGTCTGTCGCTGAATCCAGGAGCAAAAGCAGATGGGTCAATTGCAACAAAGCACTGGCCCTGATGAGGCAGAAGAAAAAACCCAACATATTACTTCACAAAGTTCTTTACCAGACAGTCTCACTATACCACCTTTTACGTGTCTGTAGCTAGAGGGGCCTACTTGTAAATCCAACACCTTATATAAACCTCCGTAATTTCAGTTCATTGCTATGCTTTCCTTTTCTGAACAATAAAAAACTATCAAAGTCAAAGTGTTGACATTTTTCTGAGGGTGTGCTGGGGTAATAATGGTTGTAAAGCGCATAGAGCATGTTGCAGAGAAATGGATATGCGCTGTGTAAATGCAGCTATTATTATCATTTTTATTTTAAAAAGCTGCACACATTGACTCAAGCCAAACCCAAAACCCAAAAATTATAATTTACTCAAAATTAACTCTTCCGGGGACACTGCACTCTTTACGAAACTGAATTGTACCATCAATTTCACTTGGTTGCTGCATCAAAATCTGTTTAACAAAAAAATATTCTTGTCATATTTTCTCACCTAGACTGTCTTTGAGAGCCTCCAATAGACAATTATAATTCTACTGTACCCCTCCGAAAAAATTATGTATCGTCTATAATAACCAATAATTAGAAATAAGTATACTAGAGATACTGAAAAGAAATTACCAAATTGGCTTCACGTTCTGTGGTTTTCCATCTCCTAATGTTAGGCCCAAAATCAGCACCAGCCAAAATGCCACAAAAGATCTCCACCATCATGGCCAAGCCATAGCCTTTGTAGCCACCTTGCAACAACAGAAGTATGGAATATATTTCAGGAGGGAAAAAATACTTGGATGATGTTAAGTTTACAAAATATATGTCATTGGCTATACATTGTGGGGGTTAAATCTATTAGGTAACCCACCAATGGCGGGCTTTCTATTCAAGCAAAAAACCTGTTTATGAGAAGCTAACACTTCTTACATGTCAGATTCAGGGAATTGCATCAAGTCATCAAGTTATCTCTACTGCTTTGATTTTTGTCTCAAAACTAATAAGACAATATAGGGCTCTTCAAAAGCATTAAGATAAAATTGAAGAACAGGCATAGTACATAGATATAGATTCACTATATATATATATATGATAAAATAGTGTTTACGACAAAGTGCCATCCTCCTCCTAAAATAACCTGTCCTTAAGTATGATTAATTTTTCATCACTAAAATGTCACATCTTTGAGAATTCATTTGATTATCAGAATTCAAATGCTAATTGAATTGCATCTATTGATGAGAAAGAACTACAGTAAGAGTTCACAAGTACAGACAGCCAGAGAAAAGAAGATGTGAGAGAAACTGTTAGCACAGAGTACTGCCTCCATTTCATAGAAAAACAAAGACTAAAATGGCTTGGCAACCTATTACGAATGTCACCTAGTCAGCCAGCCTTGAGAGCTTATTATATTTTCAAGTACTCAGGCTACACTGAAGAGGTACGCCAATCAAAAGATGGATTGAGGGAGTTAAGGGGGGCAGCAACTGAAGGCTTTCTTGCTTATTTGTGAACTAAATTTCATCATACTTGACATACAGTATAACACGGATAGGTCCAACACAGAAAACTCGAAATCACGAATCCCTCGAACTGTGTCTGCTGTCCCATTTTTTTCTTCTTTATCTTTGTAAAACGAATTACGCGAAACTCGAACACAAATACCGAATAGTCTAACTAATTATGCTGCTATTGAGGTCTAAAGTCATTGTCCTTTGAGGTGCACTTCAGACAAAAATTATAGTAAAAATTACTTTTTTTAGAATGGAAAAAGGCAAGGTCGATAAAATACCACAATCCTCCTCCACAGAAGCAGCTAGCTTAGCTATTTTTAGCATATACGGTCTCTGTGCGTGCCAAGGCCCTGGACCTCGCTACCCTTTTGTGTGGAGCCGGCGAGAGGAACAGTTGGCATTCATACTATCGGCCGCCACACCAGTCTTCGCAAAGGACTATGTGCTTGGTGGGAGAGGCAGGGTAGGGCTGAATTGTTCCGTCATCGTGCTTATCCTATCAAATTGTTTATGTTTTGAAAAATTAGAAAAGGCATCGTTTGATTGGTGCAGACTAAAGATAGCTAACACTGACCCACGCAATAAAATTGTCTTTGTACCGGTAAGCTCATTACTGATCCAACTCGAAAGCGTTGCTCATCGTGTTTCTCATTCTCAATCTGTCAATTTCAAATCCAGGTCAATAGGCACAGATCTAACCTATCTGATCTACGACAATGGCTGAAAAAAGAAAAATCTCTGTTCTGACCCAATCTTTGTTGCTTCCCTTGATTCTCAGACACATCTGATGCCATACCACTGTCCACATATCCCTCGAACTATGGATCCCCTGAACTACCGAGGCCGGTCCCGACGAGTTCGAGCTATTCATGTTATACTATAGCAAGCTTGGCGTGGATTCTTCAATACTCAACAGGATTTTAGGAAAAAAGTTTAATTGCTATGGAGATGGCAGACATATTCAAATTGGATTTTGTTGCTGTGTCTTATAAGTTAATATTTCAATTAATTCCTTTGGAAATAAGTTGTTATTTAGTATGCATGTCAAGAAACAATAGCTCATCAATATGTGTCACAATGCGGTGGAATCACGCGCTCGTCAATTTTTGGGCTATGGAGTTATTAGTATCATCTGAAAGTTGTTCATTTCTCTTTCATTTGGCCGAAAAAATACCAAATTAACTTGAACAGAAGTAACGGTATTTTTGTGATTGAAGGAGGAGGGGGTTGACTGATGTCAAAGGTAAAATTAGTGAAAAAATGACCTCCAAAGTTTAAGGGCTTTCAAAGTTTGAGTGTTCTTGGAAACTGGAAATTTACATTATTTTGTGCCTTTGAGCAACGTATTTCAGTAAAATCCACACAGAAATATGTCTTTAAATGGACATAAAAGGTGTTGAGACAAAAAAAAAAAGAACTTAAGAAAAAAATTGCCTAATGGCCAGTACTTTTTCATAATTTTTTGGGGGGAAGTAGTATTCAAGGCTGCAAAAAAGATCAGTGAAAGTTCAAACTCTGCCACCACCAGCAAAAATCTATTCCATATATTGTAAATTCAACAAAGCCTGTAATGGCGTTACATCTTATCTTCATTCTGTGAAAATGTCATGAAGATTGAAAGAAAAAGGGCGGAGTTATTTTTTTTCTATGTGGTGATTAAAGTGCCTGATATGCGACAAATAACGGTTTTTAAGGCGATGAAACAGTTGAAAGAGAGGCTGAAGAATCCAAAAATACCAACACATCTAAGTTGATAATTTTGACCCAAATTGTAACTTTCAGTTGCCCCCAAGGGACCCCTGAAATGCAGAGAAACAACAACATCTCTGTTGAAAGAGCTGCAAAGTTGGCCTACCTGACCAAATTGCATCTCTTCTCAACTCTCAACAGCTACAGAAGATGAAACATTTAAGTTTAAGTAAAATTACAGTACGAGTAAAATTAAAAAAACAATCTTCCAAAACTATCAAATTCATCTGACTTTGCTAAAAAATAAAATATGATAAAATTGTTCAGAACAAAACCCAATATAGGTTTTTAACACTGAATCCTGTACTTACTGCATTCCTCTGTGCCTCCAAGGGGCATAAGTCCTGAGGCCTTAGATGGGTCAGGAGTAGCCTGCATATCAACAGAAAAATGAATATTTTTGTTTAGTTTTAGTAAGGTTTTATGACGCTCGCAACTGCATAAGGTTATATGAGCGCCAAGGGGTGGATGTCAACAAAGAAGTCCAAATGGGGATTAAGGCTTACTCTGCTCACCCCTCTAGCTTCAACAGCACAAAGTCTGCTTCGACTATCAAGGCACCCAGGAATAGCAGTTCACAAGAGAGTGACAAAAACACAAAAGAAGTAGAGAAAATATGACAATAGTAAGAATGAGGAAAGAAAAAGCAGCAGTTTCCCTTATGTTGTTCTGGCACAGTATGAGCATGACATTGATAAATCAGCCCATTTACAATTCTACTGTGCATGTTAATATTCCCCCTTTGGGAATGGCCTAAAAACAACTTCAGTCACTAGCACTGCCCTGGTGGGGGGGCGAATATTTGTGCTTTTCATTAATACTGAGGAAGAGTTTTTGTACTGCTTTGAACTGTCAATTCTGTAATATGCACACACGCCTCTCAAAGACAAGGAAAAAGAAAACAAATAAATTATGTTGGACATCAATTTCATCAAAACTGACCAGGAAAAATTGGTTTTCGTCATGACAAGAATGTTAACCAATCCATCATTTATATAAACTTTCTATCTTTGCGTCAGGAAATAAGACAGTGAACAGCATGTTCATTACAATTTTTGGGCTTGATGATGAAGTCAAGGTTTCTGTGACAGCAAAGTCTAGACGTCCATTCTTAATCATTCAGATAGCAACACATGACAAATGTCCATTCTATATCTGTACTACTTTGCATCTACCTTTAGAAATGAAATTTATTTTCAAAAGAATGAGATTTTTCCTCCATCAAAGTTTATTCTCTTAAAATGTTTCGTTGTTGACTTTGACCAATACTGCAAGCTACTTTGGTGGATCTGAGGTTGCTCATGCTAGTGCAAATGTTCTATCAATAAGTAGGTACCAGAAACTAAATTTTCAAAGTACAGTCGAACCTGTGTAAGACGGAATCGCAAGGGAGCGGGGAAAAAATTCCGTCTTAGACATTTTCCGTCTTAGACAGGGGAATTTAGGGGGGGTGGGGGTGGGGGAGTTCAAAGGCCCAACCGGTGAGATCAAGGATCGCTTGTCCGATCGGCAAGCAGTGGTCAAAACTTCACACCTCTCAGCTGCTATCCTGTCTGATAGTGACATGCGTCAGTCTTACTTATCCAATTACCACCAGTGCTTGCCTTTCATAGGACCACTGTTTGACCTATTAAAACAGAAACGTTTGCACACCTCCTTTGCTTCCACCCTTAGTCCCACCCACCAATGCCACCCCTCACTGTCATCATTGTAACAACGATTTGAGGAACTCTTTTCTCAGCAGGCCGTACGATCAGGGCAGCAGGCATTGGTCAATCTAATTTCACACCTCTCGCTTCTGGCTACCCAGGAAAGTTTCCCTAGTGGCTGGCTACTTGAGCACTCTCACAGGCAGTCGTGAGATATCACACCCACACTACACTGACCATCTGTAGCGTTCAGAGCTCACATGATGGGGTAACATAGGGTAACTTCTACTCTATCCCCATTGCACCCCTACTCCCCTTCCTCGCCCAGTGGCATGGCCATGGCGTTAAGTTTAGAGCCGGCGGAATCAAATTTGCGAGTTTTGTTTAAAATCAGGGCTGAGCGGGCAAAGCATTTTCCGTCTTAGACAGGTGAAACCCTCGGAAGGGAGCGGATTTTTCTTTCCGTTACCGTGTTGGACAGGTTTCCATTTTATACACGTAATTAAAGAGGAATATATCAAGGGGGGAGCGGGGAGATTCCGTTAAGACAGGTTTCCGTTTTACACAGGTTTCCATTAAGGCAGGTTCGACTGTAGCTGTATGCCAAATTTATCAGTACCATTTGAAAGGCCTATATCCACTGAGCATTTTGGTACCATTCTTTAACCTCTCGGTCAATTTTTAAGCAAATGGTAATTGTTTAAAATTTGATCAAATTTGTCAGTCACTGGTTGCAACCCCATGTTGGACAGACAATAAAAGAGTACCAAGAGCACTAAACATCTCCACATTAACAGAGTACAATCACTATAACAAATATATGGACCCTAATTTTTTTCAAGACTGTGAGATCATTACAAATCAGTAATGGCCGTGTTTACGCTACCTACAATAAGAGAGATTAAAAAGAAAAGACTGTTCTCCTTTCAGGAAGTCCGAGAATTTGTTCAGTCCAAGTTCGATGAATGTGAGGTTTACTATTCAAGTCACTCGAGGGAAAAAGTTTTTCATGACTAAAAGCCATTCAGCTACTATTTAAGTGGTTTCAAAAGCTTAAATGCAAAATCTGAAAAGCATATCAAAAGCATATACATTATCTCACTTAAACTCCCAAATGGGTTGTGAGCAACAAATCACATCATTTCTCCCACAGACAATTAGCAGGTACTGGATTGAAATCATGAGACAGCAATCATTTCAGAGTACTCAGTTGCTCTTTTGGAGTACAAAACACAATGACTAGAAAAATAAAATTAAATCCCTAAACTTTAGCTGGGGAAGGAACCTGAAGAAGGATAAAAGTACGAGTCAGTGAGATGACCGTGCCACTAACCTTTCCATCAGTGTCACATCCCCAGCCTATAGGAATCTCCAGTCCTTTCCTCTCATTCAATTCTAGCTGAAAAAAAAAGAATGGTGCACATTGTGATTATAAATTCCAAGTAGTTAGTAAATTATCGACAAAACCACAGTAAATGTGTGGTACAATGTTTGTCTGAGCTTGGGTAAAGAGTAGCACATCTGACACAAATGTGGTCAGTTAATGAAGGGAAAAAGCAAGACAGACACACAGAAAAATAAAGGGAGAGTGGAGCATGACTATGAATACGTACTATATATAAATATCATTATAATTATTATCCGTGCATTTCAAATAGTCTTGTCAACCTCCATACGACTAAGACACTAGGAAAAAGAAGATAAAGATGAAGAGAAAACAACATCCCTGGAAAAGAAAAGCACAATAACTGATAAATTGGTAGAGGGAAGTCAATGTAATAGAAGTGATCCTATTAGTTAATTATTACAGTGTATATAAACTTGATCCCCGCCTATAACAAAGTCCGGTTATAACAGAGACATCATATTGGCCCCGGTGGCCTTGTTGTAGTTGGGGACCACTGCTATAGATAATAAAAAATGGCAAAAAATCAAAGAAAAGGAAATTAATTACCGTTAACTGCACAAAACTTAATCCCCAAAATAAATTATTAATAACAGTTAAAAGTATTTCTCGCAGTGCAACACAGGTCCGCACACATTGATCCTCACCTTTCCCAATGCTACTGCTGTAGTTGCCATATCCAGAACAAAGCTATCACCATTATTGGCCGGAGCTGCACATGCTATAGGGTTCGTGCCAAGTGTGGACTGTAGAAATAAAAGTGTAAGTTTAGTATAGGTCTTTCATTTGGTAGTCTTGAGCATTCCTTGAGTTTAAAAAAAGAGAAGTACATTGAACCATTAATGACTATTTCATGTAGGAGAAAATGCTAGACAGACTGACAGAAAGAAACTGGAGCATCAGTAAAAAAGAAAAGAAGTAAGACCTAATAATGGTGCCCTTTTATTGTACTCTGATGCAATGGGCATAAAGTATTCCATTTACCCCCTTCATCAGTTCTGCTTCAGTGCACCTGTTCAGTTCACTGCTGTTCAAGACTCTCTAGCTTGAGGACAGATTCATGTGGGACTAACATGCATGGGGACGACATCGTCATTGAAAGAGGTACAGCCATCAATTGGGCTGTGTTTTTTAACTTAAATGAGAAGATCCCCAATTTCCGTATAAATGGAAATATTTAGGTTTCTGGATGCTCCTCATCCGAAGCGTTGTTTCATTATGAGGGCTTGTCTTTCAGAGAGACTAATACAATTGTGTCTAGTTGTCTCTGGCTTTTAGTGTTAGGATGTGTCAGATCTGAGACTTGTCTTTTCAGCTTCTGTATGTGCTCACTGGACTGAATTCAATGTGCAGGACTGCTGCCTTAGCCTCTGCAATCAAAAAAGCAAAAAAGAGGTTCCCCCAAGACTCATGCTTTTACCTCACCTTCTTGGCTCGGGTGGGTACCATTAGTGGAGAGGTGTTGGTAAAAGCCATGCCCTGAGGGAAAGAGCATAATAAAGTTATAAGTACCTGGTATAAGTAAAGCATGACCACAATCAGAAACTCAGACTTCCACTTTCATGCTATTTCCACTTTCTAAAACTCAAATCCATATTTTCATCCACACACCATATGCTATCCTTTTAAACTCTGCAATACCTTTTTTCTTTGGGTACTAAACAGTCAACAGGACTGAAACAATTAATAACTGATTCTATTCAAAGATTTCACATCTTTTAAACACAAACTGCAGCATATCTTCACCATTGCGATATGACTGGCTAATCCACAAAATATCTATTAATTTTTATATGACGAGAATCAATTGTAAATTATCCATTTTATATGCACAGTCAAAGACAGGACTGAATTCAAAGACAGGACTGAATTCAAAGACAGGACTGAATTCTGACTAGAAATGCTCCAAATATGTTCAAAATAAACCCTCACAAATTGTTGGGTGCCAGATTGCTGCATGATCAAACCAAATAAGGATTTTAGCTTCTTTTTTACAATTTACTCTACTGGGGTTAACCAGTCTTATCACAAGGATGATGAAACATCGAGTACAAATTTTTACTCTACTTCTTTTGTATGTTTGTCACTCTCTTGTGAACTGTTATTTCCAGGGTACCTTGATAGTTGAAGCAGACTTTGTGCTGTTGAGATTAGAGAGGTGAGCAGAGTAAGCCTGATTCCCCGTTTGGACTTCTCTGTTGACGACCATCCACCCCTTAGCGCTCATAATACTCATATGAACTTAAGCAGTTGCAAGCACCGTAAAACCTTATTTAAACTAAAAAACAAATGGTACTGCACTTGGCAAATGTGTATAAATCCCCACTGGGGGCCTACTGGAACCATGGCAGCTTGAGGAGTTTTGTCATAGCTCTTGACTCACTGGCTTGGTCCTGTAGCAGACGGATGAAACCTACAGGTTCCATATATCTTGATTTACCATATAGTGTTAAAGGTGGCATCAAACTCATATCAAACTGTACCATTTTACATGATTACTAAAGGTCTATTTCATTGCACCCAAACCTTAGACTGGAGGAACTAAAATGATGGACTGATGGAGCAGTATGACAATTCTACAAAGAAAACCATTGTGCTTTTTCCAGTCTTCAAGTTTTACAAGCACAGCCAGGTCAGGACCTTCAGCACAAAGCAGTTGAGAAATGAATATCAAATAAAGAATTTTAAAGAAATGTAGCCTTATAATGAACCATTATTTCTGCCTTACAGTATTGTTGCACAATTGCTGGCACTTCTCATACACATATACAGTCGAACCTGCCTTAACGGAAACCTGTATAAAATGGAAACCTGTCTTAACGGAATCTTCCTGCTCCCCCCTTGATATATTCTTCTTTAATTACCTGTATAAAACGGAAACCAGTCCAACGCGGAAACGGAAAGAAAAATCCACTCCCTTCCGAGGGTTTCACCTGTCTAAGACGGAAAATGCTTTGCCCGCTCAGCCCTGATTTGAAAGAAAACTCGCAAGTTTGGTTCCGCCGGCTCTAAACTTAACGCTATGGCCGTGCCGCTGGGTGAGGAAGAGGAGTAGGGGTGAAATTTGGGGGTAGATGTTACCCCTTCATGTGAGCCCTGAGTAATGCAAATGGTCAGTGTGGTGTGGGTGTGAAATCTCACGACTTCCCGTGAGAGTGCTCAAGTAGAGATCCACTGCGGAAACTTTCCTGGGTAGCCAGAAGCCAGAGGTGTGAAATTAGATTGACCAATGCCTGCCGCCCTGATCGTACAGCCAGCAGAGAAAAGAGTTCCTCGAATCGTTGTTACATGATGGCAGTGAGGGGTGCCATTGGTGGGTGGGGCTGAGGGTGGAATCAAAGGAGATGATCAAACTTTTCTGTTTTTAATTGGTCAAGCAGAGGTCCTATGAAAGGCAACCACTGGTAGCAATTGGATAAGTAAGACTGACGCATGTCATTATCAGACAGGATACCAATTGAGAGGTGTGAAGTTTTGACCACTGCTTGCCGATCAGACAAGCGATCCTTGATCCCACCGGCTGGGCCTTTGAACCCCCCCCCCCCAACCTCCATCTCCCTCTAAATTCCCCTGTCTAAGGCGGAATTTTTTTCTGGCTCCCTTGCGATTCCGTCTTACACAGGTTCAACTGTATATATATATTATAAACCGCTGTGCACATAAGCTCTGGCAGTAAACCAGTGTTTGTACCTTACTCATAACTACAAATGTATAATTCGTGTTTGACCAATCAATTGTGACAGGCAAGTCCCTTGTTTATGCTAATTGTAAATCAAAATATTTCAACACAATCCAGAATCATAGCCTACTGTGAACTTACTATCAAACCCTGTTCCATAGCTCTCATTGCATACCAGCCTGCAATGCCAAAGTGGTTAGATCCTGCAAAAATAAATAACATTGCACACAAGGTCATAAAAATTTCTTAATACTCAATAATAATTACATACATAATGTGTGGGGGCTCTTGCTGTCAGAGGTACGGTGTTCACGTCTCATTCAGTAGGTCCCATGTTCAAAACCCGACAGCTATAGAACATTTTCTTTTCTAAAATTTTCCCCTTTTATCTCCTTTCTTGCTCTCTGATCATGTTCTGTTGTCTGCTTTCATCTCCACTTTCTGCTCCCCTCCCCCCCTTTGTCCCCTTTTCTAGGCTCCTGACTTTTTCTGCAGCCTCTCTACTGCCACTCTTTGGCTCCTACTTACTGCTGTCTTTCAGTCACACCCCTGATCTTAGGTTAAGTAAGATCTAACAACTAGCCTTCTCGGATAAGGGAGAAAAAACCTGCGGAGGTCCTGTGTGCAAACTGCACACTTTAAACTCTAATTCTTACCAAACTGAAAATGCTTATCGTGTTCCGTGCGCTTATATGACCATATGTACGAGGGCTGTCACACGGAAAACCGAAAAAGGTTCATAACAGAAACAATCTTTGTCCTATTATGATAAAAATGTAGCACATCATACCTCAACATTTGCTTTATTTCTCAGTGTAATCACCATCCCGCTGGACGCATTTTCCCCATCGCTGGATCAGGGAGAAGATACCCTCCCAGAAGAATTTTCTGTAAAGGGATTTCAACCAATCTTTCACGGCTTCCACGAGGTCTTCTTCATCGGTGAATCACTGTCCAGAAATATTGCGTTTCATTGGTTCAAAAAGGTGATAATATGAAGAGGCCAAGTCAAGACTGTGAGGGGCGTATGGCAGAACTTCCAAACCGAACCTTTGGATCCAGTCTTTCGGTGTGTGGCGCTGTGTTGTCATGCTGCAAAATGACCCCTGCTGGACATCCGGCCTGGTCTTTTTCGACGCACAGCCTCTCTCAACATATCAAAAGTCTGTCAGTATCTGTTAGCATTAACAGTTTGTCCTGGTTCCAGAAAGTCGGGAAGCAGAACACCCTTAGCATCCCAGAAAACCGTGGCCATGAGTTTCTTCACCGATGGCTGAAACTTTTTCGGGGGAGGTTAAGACATGTGCTTCCAAACCATTGAATCCCTCTTCATCTCAAAGGTCATGTCATGTATGTCATGGTAGTCAGTTTCGCACCTTACTCATTTTTAATCACGGGACGTAAGTGCCCCGTATGCCATGGGCTTTTGGTTACTGTTACTCACTTCGGGGATCAACATAAAAAGTCAGACACTGCATCCGGGCTCATTTTCTAGATTGCTTGGTGTCGTGTGTGTTCGTCTCTCCCGTTTACAGTCGTTTGTGTATAAAAACATTACAGTGTATGAAAGTCTCATCATTTATCACCTGTAATAATGCTTCTCAGGAAAGCTTCATCATATTGTAGGAGGTCTCCACATGTGTTCATGACTCCCGTGACAGCTTGGCGACAACTGTTCAACAAAGTCTGAGACACTTCACCACTTTGCGTCTTGTGGTCAGCTGTCAGTTCTTTTGGGACCCATCGAGTAGATATCTTTCGAGAGTGAAGCTCATCAAACACTATCCTATTGACAGTCGACTTTGAAATGTTTAGTGACTCAGAAATTTTTAGGCGCCTGTCTGTTTGAATGAGTTCATTAACGCGACTCTTGTTGTTTTCAGTCTTGGCAGAAAAACAAGGTCCTTGGTGAACTTTGTCATTGACATCCGTATGCCCAGCTTTGAACTTACTACACCACTCATATACCTGTCACTTTGCCATTACTTTCTCCCCATAAACTGACTTTATTTCAGTGTGTATTTCTATAGGTTTGAGACCTTTTGCGGCCAGAAACTGAATGGCAGACCTCACTTCTACCCTTGACCAATTTTCCAAGGGGGTAGCCATCTTAGGAGAACTGTTGTGTTCCTTTGGTTTGTGTGATGCTCATGGTGCTCATTCGGGAAATTCCTAAATGATTGTTTTACAAATGTGCGTTTACAGCATGTGAAAATATTGAACAGTTTTAAGATTACAGCTAAATTCCGGTTTTCCACGGGACAGCCTTCGTAGTTGCGGGGAAATTTTTTAAAAATTTAACGTGTACATGGAATGCATTCAGTCAGTTGTTGCCGTCAATAGTAGCTCTTCCAACAGTAAAACAATAATTTTGTGGCACTCAAAACAATTCATAACTTTTTCAACATAGCTATCTGTAAGACAACATACTAGCAAGAGCATAGCCTAAAAAGACATTTAATCTTGCTCGCAAATAGTTGTGCTAGTTTGAGGGATTAAGTATTCTTACATTAACATGGAAGCAACTTTGGACTTTGAGACAGTAACTTATGCCACAAAAATCGAAAGTCAACAGGAGACCTAAACTAAAGAGAACAAATCTCAAAATTGAAACTCATATTTTTCTTTGACTAAAGTATGAAATAAAAATTGGCTCAATTCATTATTTTCAAAGGATGCCTGATTCTCAAAGTCAAAGGTAACAAGTATTTACTTACGGTCCGGTTAACCACACCATTAATTTTTCTTTCTAACTCACCTTTTGCTGTGACCCATCCAATCCCAGCATCTTTAGCTTTTCTTATGGCAACATCAATACAATATTTTCCGACAACAGGGCCTAGAAAGAAAGATAAAGAGGAGGTCAGACGAGTTACATTATCCAAGTTTTCAAACAAAGTAGAACTGAATGAAAAAGATCAAAGCAGTTTCTAATAGAGCAATTAAATTAGTCCTCAAATGTCACATATTTATCATTAGTCCATGCATTATCATAGCAGTGCCAAAATAACCTTAAAATGCTCTAGGCAAATGACTAAAAAATTATTAAGATATATTCAAACTGAGACTCATTACACAGCTGACATGTGAAGCAAAAGTCAACACATCAACTCAAAATTTTCCTTCCAGTTGACAGCACATGCTGCATGGACGAACCATCTTCATTTACCATGGTGCTATTTAACACTTTGCCGCCTCATCTCGCCGATGTTTACCACCCAGTTTCTTTGGATTTTCCCTAAAATGCCTTTGCCTTTGATGGCAAGGGTTTTTATTTTATATGATCCTTGAGATGGGAAAGAGTTAAATTGGGAGACTTTGCTCTTCCTCTCCAGTTTCACTATTCTCTTCTACATTTCAGTGGCCTTTCTCTGCTCTCTATTTCTCTGTCCAAGTGTTTCTTATCTTAGTACAGCATTTAGATCTTGATTCTTGATTACGTTCATCTGCAGCACACGGCCAAACCACCTCCATTATCTCTGCTTCACATCTTCAAATTCAAAAGTCTTGGTCATGCTTCAAGTATCTGCAGAACTTTACTACAATTCGGTACAAAAGTTGCAAATCATCTACAGCAACTCCCCCTCCCCTCCCAGGAAATGATGGCAAATTTTCATTTCTACCAGATTCTGTACATACTAAAACAATAATCGCGGGTGACTTTGATGGCCACTCTCCTCAATAGGAATACGAAAAATACAACAAAAGTAGAATGGCCACAGAAGAACTATGTGGGACAACAAATCTTCTTATTCCACTGAACAAGAACTCCACCCTACCCTTTTACATAGGGCTCACAACACTTTAAGCAGGCCTGATTTGACCATCCTATTACCCAACCTCTCTGTGTGGGGATGAACCAAGGCATAGTCACTTTAGTCCAGCTTGTGCGGGGAAAGGCGCCGTAATTGCCCAGAGCACATACATGTAGACAAGGCATTATAGTAGTAAGAAGTCCCCTGAAGGGCAGAGGATTTCAACAGCTTTCTTGCTTCTGTCAACAAAGTCCCACCCCACATAAACAAATGTAGAGTCTGCCTGAGAGGTCTGAAGGTGAGAGAGTGTGCCTTAAGTGCATACACCCTACTCTTTGAGGATGACTTCACACACAGCAGGCTTGGCAGGGTGGTGGGGAAGCTGAAGCTTCACAGACCTCCAGGACCAGATAAGATCCACAGTGGGATGTCACCTTGGTCACACTGGTAAGGACATTATTCTCCGGCTGATCAATAGGACGTAGAATGAGGGCATCATTCCAGAACCGTGGAAAGGCAGCATCATCGCGCTCATCCTTGGGAAAGTTAAGGCCTGCTATGGAGGTGAAATGCTGTCCGCCCATCTCACTCGCTTTATGCATCAGGAAGCTTGTGGAGAGCATGGTCTGCCACTGCCTTTTCTGGTGGTTGGAAATAGCGGGTGCCTCAGATGGGAACCAAGCAGGATTTCACGAGGGCTAGCGGACAAACAGCTAGCTCTTCAGGCTCAGCCAGAAAGTCCTTGATGGTAACTAGTGAAGAACCACACAGTGGCAGTCTTTGTCAATCTTCAACAAGTATGAAGAAAAGGCCTCCAGTGGGAGATGGCACAGACAGGAATCCACGGGAAACTCTACAGATGAGTGAAGACCAGGATGAGCAATGTTGTGTCATCCAAAGCTTAACTGCAGAGGGCCTACCCTGGGGTCCCTCTCTGAGCTGCACACTCTTCCCTGTCTTCATCACCTGCCTGAGACACTGAAATCGGTCAAGGCCCTATATGCTGATGGCCTGACCATCTGATACTCGGGCAAACATGCTAGCATCAGTTCAAGGCTGATGAAAGAAGACCTAGATGGATTTTGACAGCTACTGCTGCTAGTGGAAACTAGAGGCAAATTGTACAGAGGGGCAATTTACTCAACCTTTACGAGAGGTCACAGGGTTGCAAAGCAGAACTTCACCATCTCATTTGCAGGAGACTCAAGAGAGCTGAAGACCTCACCTGCCTTGGGACCAAGCTGGGCAAACGGTTTTCGTGCAAAAGTCACATCTGGAGCCTGAAAACAAGGGCCAACAATAGACTTAACCTTCTCAGACAGCAGGCTTTAAAGGGTACTGTCCTGCGAAGGTTTGAGTCATATCTTAAGGATCGAACACAAGCAGTTGTGGTTGGAAGCATGTGTTCTAATAATGTTTTGCTTAGATGTGGGGTTCCTCAGGGGTCTGTTCATGGACCTGTCTTGTTTACAATGTATACACAACCTATTGCTGATATTTTAATACAACATGGCATGAATTACCATCTTTATGCTGATGACACTCAAATTCATAAGTCTATTGATTTCGATCAAATACCACTTTTCGTCGACTCTACTGAGCAATGTACTAGAGATTTTAAAATATGGATGACCAGCAATAAAAATTGAAACTAAATGATGACAAGACGGAAATAATGTTGAGTGGAAATACAAAAGCCATTAAAAATCTCCCAGAGCTACAAATTGACATTAATAACCATACAATTCGTTCAAAAAGAAGTATTAAAAATCTAGGGGTTCAGTTGGATTATGATAAGTCTATGTCCTCCCAAATTAGCCAGCTCAGCTTAAGAAAATTGGCAGTGTAAGAAATTATCTAACTAAAGCAGCAGCCAAGACACTTGTAACAACACTCATTTTATCAAAGTTAGATTACTGTAATGCTATTTTGTCCGGTTTGACAGTCGAAAAACTATCAAAGTTACAAGTACTCCAAAATCAAGCAGCAAAATTGATAATGAAACAAAAGAAATCAGCGCACGTAACAGTAGTAACACCAATTCTGAAAGAACTACACTGGCTGCCAATAAAAGAATGTTTTTAAGATGTGATGTCTTTTTCGTTGTAATGCGCATTGAGCATCTTTTAAAAAATGGAAATGCACAGTATAAATGCTATTTATTATTATTATTATAATTAGTGCTTCAGAGGGGGCAGACGCACTCAGGTAGCTGTGTATTGGCTATGCATACTCTGCGACAAAATATCACCTGGGGCAACAGATAATCTGCAGCAAACAAACCCAGAAGACCCTTGACAATGGACAAAGTAAAGCTGTGGGAATAGTTTCAGGGACTGTGGGGTTGACTCAAGGAGATTAAAAGTAATGGAGGATGCTCTGTGGGCGGCACAGCACGCCTGACAGGAGCCCTCTCTCGCGGCGGAACTGTGGGCTACCTGCGCTGCGCGAATGCTCGACTCACGCACTGAAATCTAGATATATAATAGAAAGAAGGTTTTATTCCGAGGTCCTTGAGATTAGGCAAGTCAATTAGTAAAAATGCCTTGCACCTGTGTTGTATTTAAGTGTAAGAACCGATATGATGCTGCAGTGGACCGAAGTTTTCACAGTTAAGTTGTTTTCCTTTAAAAAAATTTGAATGAAAGTGTTTTTATGCCCCCCAGCAACACAATTTAGATCATTAATATTCATAAGAGGCTGGCTCCGGCGCTACCTGCCAAGGCCAACCCAGGCTGAAAGGGATACAACACCCCAGCAGAAAGACCGAGATACTCAATTTTTTAAAAAGTATTCTTATTCATAAATATAAATATTATGTGTGTGTATGTATATATTATACATTTTAATTAAAGATATTGCTTTCCATTGTGTGCGCAAATTAGATGCTACTGTTGTCTAAATGTAAATATCTAGAGGCTCCATTAGAATATAATGAAATCAATACTCAACTACAATAATGATGAATATTTTCTATGTTAAAGAAACACCAAACCATATCAGATGAGGGGAGAGGGTAGGGTGGGGTGGATAAGAGTTTGAGTCTTGTTAGATAGAACTATACTCGGTTTAATTCTATTGTTGTAGTCTTCACCTAATATCCCACAATCAATAATTCCAGTTCACTTAAGATTCTGCTGTTAAAAAATAAACCAAATAAAGCAACAACAAATTTTACTACACAAGAGTCATCATTAAGATAAATTATCCCCCTCTGGAGTGTAATAAGGGACTAAAAACGCTACTCTCCATATCATACTTTACTGAACAAAAAAAACAACAACCCAACCCTTCAAAGGTCATCCACGCTCATGCACGCGATCACACCTCCAAAGGTGCTGTTATCTTTTTTAAAAAAATATATATTTGAAATCATTGTGCGCTCCACTTTGTGAAAACCAGGAAACAAAATTATTGTAATCAATAATATTATTATTTATAGACCAAGACATACTGTTAGCAATCAGATAAAGTATCATAAAGCTGGCATCGACCCTCTTTAGTGTTCGCTATTCCTTACACATAAAGTTAGTTATGGTACACGCCTTGAATCATGCAATCATATCTTAAATTCAGTTTAAAAGTATATTTTTATCCATTTCTTATAATTAAATATTTAAGCATCTTGAAAGATTATCTTTATAATTTGGTATGTTTGATAATTTTATGTTACTCGGACAGGTTTTCTTCTTATTTTACACATCTTTTTGATTTTTAAACTACATTATAACATAAAACTCTTGAAGAATTGAACAGTCCGTATCACACACAGAATTTGTTTTTTTTTTCTCCCTGTCATTATCTGTCAGCCCGTCAGTTGATCACAATATCTCTCTCTCTCTCTTTTATTTAAGTTTTCCCATTCTCCTTCGTCCCTTCCCAAGGCCCGCCCCTCCTCTTTTATCCCTGCCCCATCCCCTCTTCCTTGCGTGCATTCCCCCACCCCACCCACCCCCACAACGTGGCCCAGCCCGATAAGATTCTATAAAAAGAAACGCCACAGTGTGTGATTTAGCCCACAGTCGGTCGCCATATTTGATCCCCACCGCGGCGTACTGCTCGTGGAGTCGCGAAGAGAGAGAGGAGGCTCCATTAGTTCCAAACTCCTTGGGTTGACTGCAATTGTAGCTTGTGAGGAGTGGTGGAAATAAGTAAGGGACTGGGCACAACTGCCCAAGCAGAGGGCTCATCGAATGGGGGACACCAAAGAGGCGCATCTGTGGGGGATTCGTGCTTAACACAGCAATCGAACTGGATGAGAAATACCACCTTCCATGAGATGGAGGGATGTTGAGATCCCTGAAACCAGGGCTCCTCCTGAGAACAGATATTGGGAATGCCAACACCTGCGTTTCTCTAATGAGGGAGACGGTGAAAGGGGAGTGTGACCCAGTGGAGCTGGGGGCGACATCTTTAGAAACGTTTGACTCCTATTGGGTGGTTAAATCTGTGTTTACACTGGTGGGTCAGCCTTTGAGGGAACTATTGAAGCAGACTTTGGGATGAGAAAGGAGCATCCTGACAAGACATGTGAAGAAGTGTTTGATGCCTATGGTACTTCCTGCGCAGATTGTGAGGCAGAGGTCGTCTCCGTTGGGGCAGCAGTCCTCCACCTGACCAACATGTATATATTCATTGTATGTCCAGACGGAATCGGAGACACTATGGTCTTCACAGATGGAAAGTCAGTGCTCTATGCTTTGGAAAACACAGATTATGAGGACTCTGGCACTGGCGGTCAATATCTTCGTGAGGACCTTTGCTCTTGACCTGATTTTACAGTGGCATCCCAAGAGGTGACAGGCGGACACCCCCGAGAAGAGGGGAGCTATTTGTTTTGTTTTAGTAAGAGTTTTATGCACTCGCAACTGCATACGGTCATATGAACGCATGAAACACAGGTTGGTCTCATTCACAACAGTTCACTCCAGGGCTTGGCTTGAGTCAACGATCAGATGTTAAAAATTTGAGGTAAAATAACAATCTAAAAATGGTATTCTGCTTTAAAATAAATATATATATATTTATGGATATTTACAATTTTCCGTAAAGGCCAATGGCCTTGATAAAATCAAGGATTCTGTTGGGATCAATGACGGAAAACAATTCTTGCAATTTTTTGCATTTAAAATATTTCCTTCGGGTCTCTCCAAAGTCTAGACATTCTATTAAAACGTGTCTAATGGTAAAAATCTGTGCGACACAGAATGGCTTCTCATCTCCCTGAAGGAGGTATTTGCTTTCAAGGATGTGTGTCCGATGCATAATCGAGAAGGGAGCATCACAAACACAGCCCCAAGATCCAGTTGTATCGTAACAGATGGTCAGAAACATCGGATGCAACATCAAGGAACAGTAGCTGAACAGATGGGCAATGGGCAAAACTGGAAGAACTGGATTTGCACAAATGACTGCTCCCATCACAGGTGGTTCACAGAATTCTCCGAGTGGAGGATAACAGGTCATTATCTTCCACCTGCGAATACAAAACATTCTAATGAATTCCTGCCTGAACAGTATCAGTAAGGATACTCCACCTGCCTGGCTGCTGTGTGACTGCAAGGATGAAAGGGTCTCTCATCACCTCTTTATATTATCTGCCGGGCACTTAGCAACCTGCATAGTACCTACCTACCTACCTACCTACCACCTGCCTCCACGGTTGTCGGGAGTATTCTATTCGAGCTGATAAAAACCTGTAAATTTTTTGCCATATCAACAGGACGAAGGTCTCAAACAGATGGCAGCTGGATCAGAAAAGTAAAAGTAAAGTACAAGAGATTAACAAGCAAAGAAAAGAACTTAGAAGTGGGAGACATAAAAATAAAAACAATAACAATATTCTACGGACATGAGACCAAAATAATAATAAAATAATACCGAGCACATTATTCCCGTCAACATAGGCTGTTGCAGCTGTCTCCTTGAGAATCTCAGGCTCCTTGTCACTGACTGTGATGCCAGCCTGAATATCTTTGACATACATGTCTGAAATATATACCATAAAAGCCTACAATATTATACCTAGTGTAGAAATTAAACCTAAAAACTTACTATGTATACAAACAAACTAAACACATTAAAAGCACAAAAATATACAGTCCTGTGCATGTTACATTGTGGAGCAACCTGCAAGAAAGAAAATGGATAATGAAGTATCATCATCTGGATATATTTCTGACTTTATTTCTATCTCATTATATTATGACTAATTGCAGTGAAATTCCACATCAAAAAGTTTTAGAAATGTCTGTCTTAGAGTGAAAAAAAAAGTCAAAAATTTGAAACAAGCACCAACTGAGATAAGAGAACGAGAACCCAAAGCATCAACCTGATGTCTAATTTTTAAAAAAGTATATATATAGCCTATAATTATTGTCTTAAAAAATGCAGTCTTAGCATAGGCCTACTTAACCTTCTAACATGACGCCGAGTTTTAGGCGAATTAAAAAGCAACGGCAAAGCAGTGTCATAGAACAATTTATTAACTTCTAACCTTAGTGACTAAAAGTAAAATGTCTAGTCTGAATGAAGATCAGCAACTGTGCGTGACTGATTTTGTGATGAAAATGCAAAAATATATTTCATTTGAAAAGAAACCAAAGGGCAGCCTATGACAGAAATTTAATTAAGATGACAATAGCCTTACACTATAACTATAACTTACAGAGACCTAATTTCAGTAGATCTACAAGACATGCAAATGTTGAGAAACTCTCCTTTTAAATAATATATTATTATTATTATATATAGATCTATATATATATATATATATATATATATATATATATATATATATATATATATATATATATATATATATATATATATATATATATAGAATATATAACTGAAAACAGACTAAACCCAGAAAGACCCAGTCTCATGTTTTGTCTCTATACTTTTAGCTCAAAACTAAGTTTGTTGACACACATTTCCCCAAATATAGGCCTAGCCTAATTCTAGATCTAGCAACTTATAGCTCATCTACAGTTCTATGATGGTGCCTGTTCAAGCTTCAGTACCGTACATTGGATTGGCCGGCCTTCCTAGAATCTTTCTGTGTTTATTGTTATTATAATGCATTTAGAGTCTTCATCGTGTACTCTGCTGATACAAAACCAATAATCTCATTCTTATCCAAAATAGGGCCAGGATCTAACATAAAACATGATTTTAGAATAAAGTATAAAGAATCTGTGAGCTTTATTTCAAGTGAGGCATAACAATCTGGGTCAAAACAAAAGGTCAAGGGTAAGTCTTTCTCTGTAGTCTGTATCAAAGCTAAACAATGCATGATATTATTATAAATCTAGACTTGCGTAGTTCTTGGACAGTCACCACGCAATCTATGGATAGGGCCTAGCGGACAGCCCACAATAATCTATAGCCACAGGGGACATTTTCTACTCTTTGAATTTTGCACAAACATAGAGTCTAGATCTAGATCTAGATCTAGTACATAGATCTAGAATCTAGATCTAGAAGTATAGTTACCCAGCCTGTTAAGTCCATGGCTGTAATGGCCTCTGTAGTCTGCTGCCACCAATAGGTCTGCTAATGCCGAGCTGTGCGATGTCTTGGCACCAGCTTTTGTCATGCAGCGAATCACGAAGGCATGCATTTCTGCCAAGGCGATTCTTCCTTCAGCCGACATGTTTGTTTACAACTGCGGTCAACGCCGGTCAATAGGGAATAGTTAATAGGCTCAGGGCAACAGCTTGCGCTTGCTCTTTCGATACTTCCTCGTTCGAACGTGGTCTCACAGCTGTTGTGTGGGGCCTACTGAATGTGTTGCTGCGCTGCTGCCAAGATTAGGCTAGGCTAGCCTAGTTCGTTCGTTCAATCGGATGGCTTCCACGTTGACGCGGTCAGCGTATTCTAGCCTCGTCTGGTCTGCGTTTTGTTGTGCCGCGCGCCGCGGGCGTCTGTCTGCAACTGCAAGCGAGAAAAATGGAGGCAGAGCGGTGTGACGCAGCGTGACTAGAAGACCTGTTTCGCTCACATAATCAGATCTAGATCTATACTCAGCTAAAGTAGGCCTACATGCAATAAAAAACATGGGCACGCGTGAATGTACACACATGCTTGATGCTATTATTGTCATTATGAGCCAACGCGCGTCTGTCTGTACTTTTATTTCTTTTGGTTTTTTGGGGTGTTTTTTTTTTTTTTTTTTACGGCGCTCGCAACGGCAGGAGGTTGTAGATCAGATCTGAATGTAGATCTAGATCTAGATCAATGCTGTGAGCTCACGGGACACATTACACATTTTTTTCAGCTGGTAGGAAATTTTGAATTTTGCCCGGATGGCGGCCGGGGTACGGTACTCTAATACTAATAGCCTACGATTTTGCGAGCGCAACTTGCACATGGGACCTCCGAGATTTTTTGGCGCATCCGAGAAGGCAAAGTGTTAGGCCTAATAGGATTCCAACAAATAAGACAAAGTAAAAGCGGTACTGAGAATTTGTCTTTTGTTTATGAGCGCGCGGGACACATCTAATATTTTCAGTTGGTAGGAAATTTTGAATTTTGCCCGGGTGGCGGCCGAAGCCTACTCTTATCGATTTTAGACCACCAAGGGATCTTTAACGTGCGCAACTCGCACACGGGCCCCCCGAGATTTTTCGCCCTTGTCCGAGAAGGCTAGGTGTAGATCTTTCCTACCAGAAGATCAGGGGTGTGGCAAAAAGACAGCAGTAAGGAGGAGCCAAGGAGTAGCAGTAGAAAGGCTGCAGAAAGAGTCAGGAGCCCAGAGGAGGGGGCAAAGGAGGTGAGGGGGTGGGGGCAGAAAGTGGAAATGAAAGCAGACTACAGAACATTGCTAGAGAGCAGGAAAGGATGTGAAAGGAGACAATTTTAGAGAAGAAATTTTTTTGGTCGCTACCCGGAATCGAACCCGG